ATTGGAGTGGGCCGAAGTGCCGGTAAGGTGTTGAGCGAGGTGCGTGTCGTAGATCTTTTCTATAATACCGCCGGAAAGAATGTATGCTGAGCTCGATAAAAAGCCGGATATTGACGAGAGATGATTTTGGTAGATCGAGGCAAGGTTCAATAAGCCTGATCCGGCTGCTTTTGTCGTCGACTCAACGAGCGAAGAGATGGACCAAAGCTTTCACGCATCAGTGAGTCGCGAGGCCATCCCGTCTCGGTACATCACACGATTATACACGGATACCGTACAATGTTCGATTCCCACTTTCGAGACTGTCTCTGCGGTCTCGGCGTCGTTGCATTCGTTGCAGTCATTGCAGAAACGGCCACTGATGCGAACCGCTAACCGCCGAGCCGATGATGGCCTCCGCAGGAATGGTTGCGCAAGGATCCTCTTTTTGAAAGACAATGTCGGATGGTAACAAGGACTCTCCTGTACGAAGAGCACAATTTGCTTTTGTCCGGGAAAAAGGGAGGATAGAGTTGTGGTGCTGACGATATAAAGACCGGCATTGGTAGAGACGTGAACTGGACTACCGAGACGCCGTAGACGTGCCGAGAGAGATCATGGACTCCATGTGGTGAGCGGCAGAGTATCATGTTACCAAAGGAATGTCCTGCTAATGAGAGTCAGGACCAACCTGCTTAGACAAGACGAGCGGTGCTGCCTCGCCATCTGCCTGGCGGTCAACTGCCCTCACAACGGACTGACTGACGACACGTGGTACCCGCCGCTGAACAGAGTCAAAGAAGATATGAACAGCACCGCAGGTGACCGATTCATCGCCTACATTATTAGCTGTCTGTGTGGGCCACTCCAAGGCAAAGAGTTGGTCGTCAAGGTCGCCGCGCTTCTGGCGTGCCTCAAAGTCCGCGAAGCACCCGACGAACGTGACGACGGCCCGTCGGACAACAGGACTAACTTGTTGTTCGAGTTTGACAAGGCACTGAACTTTGACTTTGGAAACGTGCCTATTGCTATCAAAGTGCTGGAGCAGGTCTTGACATTTTCTGCGCGGATCTGGGAAATCCAGGCGCCGGAAGACGCCATTCACCCCGGGATCTTGCCCGCAACGTTCGACCTCTGCGACGATTCAGTGTCGAGAAAAATGCTGTACATGTACTGCTGCGTGAGAATCCTGTTTCCCGATACCCACGAGGCGACCATGCACCGGACACGGGCCGTCTTCCAGATGAGCTCTGCAGACGCGGCCGAGCTACTTCTCGACACGCTCAGCGACGACGAGCTGGGGTCGGGGGGCCACTCAGTGTGTGACGTGGACGAAGATCTGTTTGACGATGAGGGCGGTGGGCCTTACCGTTCTGACATTTCTGACATTGAATCTGGCGATGGCTCAGACCTGTCGGAGAAAGGGCGATTAGACGACGGGTACGGCGGTGCTGAATCCGACTTTGTGGAGGGCTCAGACGTCTCGGATGAAAGCTATGCGTCTGACGCTGAAGAAGATGATAGCGATACAGAGTAGTTGCTGAGTTTGTTACGTACGGGGTTGTATTATTCTGCGCAATTTTCTCACAACTATCCTTGAACATTGATTTCATACTCTTTTCATATGATCCACGTGTGAGGAGCCCACTTGCGCCGGTATTCGCCAAACGCCGAGGGAGTGCTCTGCATACAACGCCCTACGTTCTTTACCGGGCAACAAATGTTCCACCTGTGAGAACATGACATACGCGACACATTGTTGTTGCTGGCGATGGCTCACACGGAATCCAAGAGCACCACACTCAGCTTAAGCCAGGTTGCAAGATACAGAGCATCAAGACACGGAGCCCACCGTGCTGCGAAACTCGCAGCGAAGGAGCGGAGGCGTGATATGGGGAAATCGTCCGCAAAGTGCCCACCAGCGGCGTAAGCGGCTGCTTGTCATTCTCGTGCCTCAACACAGGAAGCAAGTTTCGTCGACTGTACTACGACCAGAACCAGAAATGTCTCTTCCTACCGCACGCTTCCCGTCTATTTCATTGAATATCTCCCGCAGCAGCTTGGCCTTCAGCCGCAGGATGCCAGCTCGGCCAGCGTCGAAACATCGGTGACACCACCGCCATCGTCTGCATCAGCATCCTCGCGCTTTCCCATCGGACTCTCCTGTGCAATGTCTCGTCGATCGTCGGCTCTCGCAGTCCTAGCCCTCCAGCTTGCTGTTGCCGCCGCGAAAGCAACGTCGGCCGTCGAGATCCTTTCGCAGGTTCCGTCGTGTGCCGTAAGTGTTTGTGGCATCGGCCAGGAGTTCGTCGCGCTAACGGGGCATCTATCATCTAGTCTGAGTGCATCAGCAGCACATTCATGACGTCCGCCTGCGATCCAGAAGACGTGACTACGTGCATCTGTCTCAATATTGCTACCCAATCGGAGCTTTCGACATGTGTGCAGACAAACTGCCCGTTCGACGATCAACTAAGTTGGCCCCGCCATTTCCTTTCTGAAAGCCCACCTGACGTCTTGAAGCTGCGGCGGCGGTGGAGGGTGTCCTGTGCGAAGCGTATCCAAAAGCATCGCGAAGGACAGAGGTCCGACAGACGCTCATCATCAGCTGCAGTCTCGTGTTGTTCATTGTGACGCTTCGTCTTTTCACGAGCAGACGGTACGCCGGTGGTCTATGGAGGGATGACTACATGACCATCCTCGCGGCGGTAACTGACCCCAACTCTCCAAGCAAACCTTTCTGATGTTGTCTGCCAGGCACTCCTCATCGCCTTGGCCGCGGTCTATCTGCACATCACCAGCATCGGTTTCGGCATGCACTACTGGACGATACCGGTTGGTAATGGAGTCGTTATCCGTAAGGTTCGGTAACCCGGGTCCGCCGACTGGTCGCGGTGCCTCAACTAACGCTGAGTCAGATGCTTTACGTCGGAAACTTGATCTACATCGTCCTCCAAGCTGCCGTGAAGCTGTCCATCGTGCTTTTTCTCGGCCGCATCTTCCCATCGGAGACCTTTCGGAGGATCGCTCAGGGTATCCAGATCATTCTCCTACTGCATGGCACGCTCTTCACCATCCCCTTCGCGACGCAATGCGTGCCTGTGCAGTCGATCTGGGATCGTACCATCACCGACCGTCGATGTCTTAACTTGCAAGCGGTGGGCTACAGTAGTGGCGGACTCGCCATGGCGGAAGACGTCGCCATCTTGCTCCTGCCAATCCCCTACGTGTGGCGGCTCAAGATTTCCCTCCAGCGACGCCTGGCCGTCATCGCGCTGTTCAGCGTTGGTTCGTTGTGAGTCAGGTACCCTTTTCCTTGTGGAAATGAAGCAGAAGAAGGCTCACACGGGAGACAGCGCGTGTGTGACGTCGGCGGTCCGGGTCAGATACCTGGTGGAGTATAGCACCACGTTCGACGAGACGTGGGACCATGTCGATATTGTGGTGTGGTCGTTCATCGAGCAGTCGACGGCGATGCTGTGTGCGAGCCTGCCCAGTCTACGTCTACTGCTCGTCAGCGTCTGGTGCCGACGTCGGTCTGCATCGTCGGAGAGCTCTTTCAGCAAGGACAGTCCGAAACACAGGTGGACTCGTTCTGTCGATAGACTGAGGCGACACCGGACGCAGATACGGAGGGATAGCGGCCCCGGACCGCAGCACACGGGCGACGGCGTGCTTGTAACAACCACGGTGGAAGTCGATCGGCAGTCCTACGTAGCCCCAGACGTGCCGCCCTTTCCGCCGCCTGCCTACTCTGGGCGTAGCAATTACACATAACAGAACGTCATGAGAGAAGGGAGAGTTGGATAGTATTGTTCATAGATCTATGATGGGTTATGATGAAGGGCGATTTCTGTGGCATGTTGCTGCAAGCGATCCGTGGAAGGAAAGCGATGCGAAGTTAGAGTACATGGAAGCATCACCATCATGAGGCGTTGGAATTCGACGGTGTTTCGTTTCTCGAAAGGCGGCGGAACGAGTCATGAGGTAGGTCACACAGCCACGAGTTCAGGACATGAACCAAATACGGTATTTGCTCGCAAAGGTGGAAGCCATGGTGTGTGTTCTGGAAGTTACATCGCAAAACTCATCAATACATACCCCAGCTACAGTTTATGGGCCGCATTGCCGCCAAGGCCCTACGTTGTGATGATGTTTTCTTCATGCAAGCCTCCGTGCCGTTTGGTGGGTGGTGCTTTCGATGGCATCTAGCGTGGCTTTCTAGTGCAAGGAACACTTGGGGTCTCGCCCGTCTCTCCTTCGATCACTTAGAGCTGCAGTCCTACTCCCCTGCTCATCAATAGTTCTTCAGGCGGTCTGCTTTACCGCAAGTCAATGCCGGCACCAATCCAGCGATAGACGGCAGCAGCAGCCGTGGCACATGAATGCTGCATCGATCAAGCCAGCACGTGGCCGGGTAATTACTGGAAAGGGAACTTGAAGACGACCCAATGCTAGCGACTGTCAGT